AGCCATAGCATAAAAATTGACAACGAACAATTCTTTTCCAATGATTTTCATTTTTTTCCCTGATGATGGCATATTTGCCGAAATTAGTACGGACGAAGATATACTTACAATTATAGTATTTCCGATCTCAATTGAAGACCAAAGAGCTAGCAGTATGTACCAGGTTCGGTTACTACGCAGCAACTCGGCATTGAAATATTTGAAAAACTAGTTCCCATATTTATTTAGCCTGACCCATATACATGTCTGGTCGAACTAAACGTGGAGGTGGTAGAAATGTATACGCCCAGTTGAAGAATGCGCGCGCGGGCAAACGGCGTATAAACACAGCCACACTAGGCGACCGGCAATAAACTTCAGTTATACAGGGTGAGTCATAATTCACTCCCCAGCGGCCGGATATATATTATAAAATAAAAAATAAAACAAAAATGTAGAATACTGAAATCTCGAAAGCGGAGCCGATTTCGGAAAATTTTGTAAAGAAAAATTCAAATTTATAATTTTTTTGTTTAATATTAACACCATTAAAATCCATTCAAATGCATACAAAATAAGAAATAGCAGAAACGAAGATCCTTTCAGCGCAATTCAGATTTTTTCTATAATGTTTTATTTATTGATGAAACTCATTTCAATCAACAAGGAGTTTTCAATCACCACAACCTTGATTATTGGCATTATGAGAATCACAATGAAAAACGTCAGCGGAATCAGCATAGACGTTGTTCTGTAAATATTTGGATAGGTATTTACGGGAAAAGGATCATAGGTCCATATTTTTTGCCAAGATTGGTGAAAATTACAGTAATTTTTGCGAGAACATTTTGCCAGGTTTGTTAGAAGATATTCCTCTACAACAACGTGCAGCTATGTGGTTTGAGCATGATGGTGCGCCCGCACATGCCACATTACAAGTACGACATATTTTGAACCGCCGTTTTTCTAATAAATCCATTTATTAGACGGGGTGGACCAACACCATGGCCACCCCGGTCTCCTGACTTGACTTCTATAGACTTTTGGTTATGGGGATACATAAAAGAAAAGGTTTATTTTACTGTGCTTGTTGGCGAGGATGATGTTATTGGCAGGATTCATGAAGTAGTAGCGGAAATAAATTAAGCTAATTTCTATTCTTTTGCCAGGAGTTTCTACCACAAATTGCAGAAGTGTATTAACGAAAATGGTAATGTTTTTGAAGGTTAGGCAAAGCTAGAAGTATCTTTGTTTTTGCTATTTCTTATTTTTTATGGATTTAAATGGATTTTAATCGTGTTAATATTAAACAAAAAAATTATAAATTTGAATTTCTCTTTAAAAAATTTTCCGAAAACGGCTCCGCTATCGAGATTTTAGTATTCTACATGTTTGTTTTATTTTTTATTTTAGAATATATATCCGGTTTCTGGGGAGTGAATTTTGACTCACCCTGTATAGCAGTGCAGTGCATCAATGCGGAATTATTTTATTGTTTTATCCTGGCAAGGATATGTTCATACCTTCCCATTGGTTCTTGCCCAGCAGTAATATATTTTAATGAAAATGTAAATGTTTTTGATATGTCATAACCAAAACCATCAATATAATAAAATTGTTTGAGAAGATACATAATTAAAATATGTTGTTAGCCAAATTAACATAAATAATAGAAATTTTATACACATTATATATACACTGAGCTCGTAAAGTTTGGAATAAATTCGAAAAATCGTTACTGAAGGATTTTGACAGGAAATGCTCGGACACGTCAACTTTAGTTTATAAAATGTCACTTTTTTTAGCAATCGACTTTTTTTTTGTTTTGTTTGTTTTTGATCTATGACGTCATCGGCAATTTTTTTAAATGGCAACCCATATTTTTTTCCACGGATTTCGATAGAGCACATTTTTCTGAGTACGAATATGTCAAAAACGCATGACCTTCAAGATGGAAGTTTTCGAGATATTCGGTTCCAAAGTTTCAAGAATGCATTATACAAGCGATGACAAAATACTAATCATTTATCAAGGAAGCGCTGGAAAAATTACAGTTTTGATAGTTGAAGTTTGTTCTCGCAAGTTTGTGTTTTAAACTGTCTATTATCTCGAAAACTTCCATCTTGAAGGTCGTACGTTTTTGACATAATATTCATGCTCCGTAACTGATCATAAAAATTTCGATTCTTTCCCTTTCACTCAAACGACGGACCATTTTCAAATAAAATGAATTCTGATAGAATAATGATTAATCAACTTAAAATAAAACACAAACTTGCGAGGACAAACTTCAACTATCAAAACTGTAATTTTTCCAGCGCTTCCTTGATAAATGATTAGTATTTTGTCATCGCTTGTATAATGCATTCTTGAAACTTTGGAACCGAATATCTCGAAAACTTCCATCTTGAAGGTCAT